CACATATATATATATGTGTGTGTGTGTGTGTGTGTGTGTGTGAGTGTGAAATTGTATTAAAAACTTATGAATTTTTCTATTATTTAGATTAAGGGTATTTTAGTAATCATATTAATTTTCATTACGATTCAGGTGAACTAGTAAACAACTTATATGAATTTTGTTTCCTTTTTACTCCGATTCCAAAACATTTAAGTAAATAGCTTTAACAGGAATCCGATTCTGACTCATCTTCAATCCAATTCCTCCTCAATTCAATTCTTCATCAATCCAATCCCTCTATTTTGATTACGGTTACGTAAACGCGCCATTAGTGTAGACACTAGACACTATCGTTTGTTAAAAAAATATATGTTTTTTTTTAAATCACATCCGAGATTTTTTTTATCCATAAAGTATAACCAATCATAAATACGACATAGTGGTATAAGTTTGAGATGATGTTTATTGTTAAAGGTTGCTAGAAGCTAAAGAATGTGTCGCCGCAACATGTTGAATGCAACAATTCGATATCTAAAACGGAAGGGACACTAACTTTTGGTTGACTTTAGATTTGTTTCTGACTTTTGATTTTGTGGGAGGGAGAGTGATGCATTTCCTCTTTCGTACCAACCATAGTTAGAATATAACTCTCAAACAATATATATATATATAGACACACACATATAAGGACAGATTCGTGACATTATATTTTTTTTTTTTTACACATGTTTTTGTGCAGTTTACTTGTAATATATTTTAACAATCTGAATCGTATCTTTTAGACCATAATTCATTGATTATCCTTTCAAAAGATTAGACAAATCCAAAACAATTAAGATATTTATTTGTAGAGAACAAAATGGAAGAACATGATCCTACAAAGAAACCTGAAACTCTTAATTCAACGGTCATATGGTTTTAGATTTTATTAATCTTTGGTAGATATAATATTTGAGAAAAAATTTAAAAGATAAATGGTTTGAATCGTTAAAATTGTGTAGAAGAACGTTTATAAAAAATTGTAAAGAAAAACTGGTACCCTACGAATCAGTCCCATATATGAATGAGGATCCTTTACAGATTCTCTTTGTGAGGATCCCGGGAATCCTTCAATCGTATCCGTTTATCGTATATCGTGTGATCAGTTTTTGTTAGGTACTGTTTATATTCAATTTTAAATTTAAAAAAATTATAATAATTTTTTACTGCACGATATACGATGAACGAATACTATTGAAGAATCTCTGGAATCCTCACAAAAAGAATCTGGAGAGGATCCTCATTCTCCATATGTATCTCGAAATAGTTTTAGTTACTGTACGTATGTTGATGAAATTTGAGAAATAATCGTATTTAACCGTTTGGGTGAACGCTTTTAACAAGAAACTATGGAAGTGGACCTGGACCCTGTCTAATCTCAAGGATTTAGCTAATTAAATCTGCATATTAAAAGAAGAAATCTAGCATTTCTTCATCAAGCGGGTCACATCAGTCTGATCACATATAATTAAACTAATAATTAATGGTCAAGACTGAAGCTGCAGCCTGCTGCAGGCCTTCTCTGTAATTATCGATAGGGTGCAAGTTAAAGTCGGTAACGTCGACATTTACAATAGTTGGATAATTGTATTGCATGGAAGCTTCTATTGATGAATTTGATTTGTACGGCCATGCACATTGCACATGTGTGATAATATGCAACCTTTGGCAGTGTAAAGTTGGATCGGATTATATAAGATCTAATTTTATATCAAAGAGGAAGAAATGAGAATTCCTCTTATGTATAACGTCAATTCAGAAGTTGAGTTTGATCTTTACGCTCTTTTCTTTTTTTAGTTACAAAAAAAAAAAAAACTAATGAAAATTACTTGAAAACTTTGAGTTTTAATGATAAGGACAAAATAAAGGGTAAAGTGAATAGTACCAGATTTGACTTTTTAGTGTAAAAATGTGGTTTTTCGTTAAAGTGAACAGTACCGTGAGCTTTTCGTTAAAACTCCCTACAAAAAATGAATTTTAACACTAGATTTATAATCTATTTTTATCAATCACCCTACAAGTTACCCTCATCAATAGACTAACCTTAGTGGTTTATATATGCTCGTTTATTTATCATATATGCATGTCGTAATTTATATGTTCAAAGTGTATATTATGAAAGACGTACTAAATAACTTAATTAAGCGTTAGATACGTTATTATGACAATAATAATAATAATAATCTAATGAAAACAAATCTTATATAAATTGAACAAAGCAATCTCCTAACGTATAATGGAGTGTATGTGTTGAGACTCATTGCAAGTTGCCTGCTAGTTCGTACCATATAATGCTTGGTTGTTAGTTAGAGATGTCACCACCAAGTACCAACCTATCAGCTAAGGACCAAGCGGAACTGATAAAGCACCTCTACACACTACATAAATCAAAGATAACCTCTGGACCATAATACCCCCACACTAGTTACAACCACCTCCATCTCCGCCTGCAATCCCCATTAAAGGAAAATTTAGGGTTTGTGGACAAGCTCTGGGCCAAAATACCCTAACCTAGCCAGTTCGGTAGCTTTGCCAAAACTAGTACTGATATATATATATATATATATATATATATACAGCCAAATCAACATCAGTACCCACACCTTCTGATTTTTATGGCTCTTGTTTTATGTGTGTTCTCTTCAAGGTGTTTTGAGTGTTGATTAGGTAGAGCTGGCAAGATGAACTCAACCCATTAATTAACACTATATATATATATATATATATATATACATACAGCCAAATCAACATCAGTGGCTCTTGTTTCATGTGTGTTATCTTCAAGGTGTTTTGAGTGTTGATTAGGTAGAGCTGGAAAGATGAACTCAACCCGTTAACACGATTCAATTCATTCATAAATTTTTAACTATCGGGTGACAGGGCCGGCCCAGGCCAAGTACGAGCTGGGCAACCGTCCGAGGCTCAAAAAAAGGGGCACCAAAATTATCGAAGTGGTATATTTATATATGTTTTTATAAGAGTATAGATTTTTTAAATTTGGTTAAATGACAAAGAAATTTAAGTAGAACTGGTGAGTTTTGTTATTTGAAATTAATGAGGAAACCTTGGGTTCAAAACTTCATTTGTGTTTATTTACTTTCCAATTTTTATAAATTTCTTTTCATAAGAGTATAAATTTATAAAATTTGGCTAAATAATTAAAATATTTGTCTATAAGCGGTGGTTTAATTTGTTTAAAATTAATAATGAGGTCTTGGGTTTGAAACACTACGTGTGTTTTTTAACTTCTAACTTTTACAAATTCTTTTCATAAGAGTTTAAATTTATAAAATTTGGCTAAATGGTCAAGAGGTTTAATCAAAATCAATGGTTTTTGTTTTTTAAAATTAATGAAAGGTCCAAAGTTCGAAATGCTATGTGCATGTTTATTCTTTTCAATTTTTACTCATCATTTATCTACTTGTAATCCCAGGTTTCTTTGTTCCCTTCTCTTGTTTTTTAATTTCTAACTTTTACAAATTCTTTTCATAAGAGTTTAAATTTATAAAATTTGGCTAAATGGTCAAGAGGTTTAATCAAAAGCAATGGTTTTTTTTTTTTTAATTAACGAAAGGTCCAGAGTTCGAAATGCTATGTGCATGTTTATTCTTTTCAATTTTTACTCATTATCTATCTACTTGTAATCCCAAGTTTTTTTGTTCCCTTCTCTTAATAAAATTAATTTGTTTTTCTGTGTTTCTAAATTATTGAGTTTGAAATGGTTTTCTAAGTATAATTTTATCGAAGTCTTACTTGTGAAAACAAACAGTTTTCTTATATGAAGTTAGGGCACATTTTTTAGGCGTCGTCCCGGGCCTAAAAATATCTCACGACCGGCCTTGACGGGTGAAGGCTTAATTGTTTGAATTAATAATGGATGAACCCATTAGATAAGGAATGATTTTGAGTGAGCCCAGAAAACCCACAATCACCCATTAATTTCAAAGGCTACATCTTTTTTGAACTATAGCTCGATTGTAGAGCCAACACTGTCCTTCTCGTGGGATTTGGATCCTCTCCTGAGCTAATGGAGAGGATCCTCCTGACCAATCATCTTGGGCCGTTGGATTTTTATCCAACGACTACAAACAAGGAAGTCCCTATAAAGTTTTAATAATTATAGCCGTTGGATAAAAATCCAACAGCCCAAGATGATTGGTCAGGAGGATCCTCTCCATTAGCTCAGGAGAGGATCCAAATCCCTTCTTGTGGATCCAAATGCACTAAACGAACCAGAATTGAAACCCTAATTCACAATTAACATAAAAGTATAAAATAAAATAAAAAATTGCTCTGATTTTTGGAAAATTTGGTTCTAATCTAGTTCAAGCGCGGAAAAAAGAAAGAAAAAAAATGATTTAAATTTGGTTCTAACCTAAACCAACTGAACCTAATCATTTGCCAGCTCTACGATTAGGGTTTTGTGTTTGAGTTTTTGGGGCTTTGAAAATGGATTGCTGCTTGGGAGTTTTGCAATTTAGGGTTTTGTTTTTGGGTTTGGCTGCTACGGTAGTCTCGCATTTGTGCATTTGTGGTTTCAGCCAGCGGTCCGATAGTTTCTGTCTATTAATGAAGTTGCCGTTTTAGAACCAAAAAATACCAACTGCAATTAGGCCTTCTTTTCTTGGAAAGGCCCAAGAGCTTATAAGCCTCCTTTTGCCTAAACTTATAGAATAAATCCCACTGCCTAATCAACAATGGTTTTGAATCTTTTGATCCATTAGTATAGATGTGGAAGCTAGTTCTCTTGCATCAAAACTCCTTGTGAGTAAAGAACTTAGAATACAAGAAATTTGAAGTGTCACTGGTGGCATATATTCTTCCCACACGCATAAAAGTGATTTGAAATCAATGAAGTGATTAAAATTGGGCAACGAAGTTTCAATGTTTTTGGGCAACGCAACAAAGTTCCAATGTTTGGTCTCCTTTCGAGATACGACATTAATTTCAATCCTTTTTTCAGATGTTGAAAGTGGAAGTGACACCAAATACATTAATATTACATACGCATCAATTAATATCTTCACTACATTGATAAGAAGATTCAACACTACTAATTAAGAGTTATTAACCTGGGGAACTACAATGCATTCACGCGTCTCCTTTCCATCTTGATTAATCTTGGTGGCCCTTAGTATTGCTTGTGTTACGACTCTCACATCCATCTGGTCTTTGTTTTCGCCATCATCTACAGCTGCAATGGCTTCCATGGAAAAATAATTGTTGCATGAAACTCTAGCCTGCGCAACATTAAGACCCATTTCTTCAAATGCCTCCAAAACCGAAACCAGAGTGTCCTTCGCTTTCTCGCACTTCACTCTCACAAGAAACCCTTCCTTAATCTTCTCTACCTTCACTTCCTGCTCATCCATGCACATATAAATATCCACCAAATGTGTGTGTGTGTATATATATATACATGTATGTATATCGTGTGTGTGTGTGTGTGTGAGTGAGAGAGAGAGAGAGAGAGAGAGAGAGAGAGAGAGAGAGACCTTGGGGACTTGAAGATGTTTGATTAGGTTTATGTAATCTGTTTTGATAGCCATGAGATGCAAGTACTCTATTTGGACTGCTTCAAGCTTGAGTTTCAGCATATAAATGTGGAGTAGAGCATCCATGATAATGGAGCTCCTCTTGACCTTTAAACATAAAACATCCAACAAAATACACAATGTTTAATAGGTTAGCTAGCGAGTAGTAGCATAAGAAAGTAAACCCTAATAGCTAGCCGTAAGAGATTAAAAGAACAGAGTATATGAAAACTTTTGTATTACGGATTTTGTCTTGGTAAGGCTCCTTAGAATTTGAAGCTTTCGGCGCAATGCTGCTCTCTTCCACATCCCGGAGACTATAGCTCTCATCAGCTATGTTTCTTTGTTTTGCCTGTTTCTCTCCGTGTCTTTTACTAGCTAGTATTCATATTTGATGAGTTAATTTTGTAGCATGCATGGGATGGCTTTTATAGCTGCCAAGAGCAAGGAGAGCACTTTAATTGATTAGTGGGTGTGTCTTGGAATTTTGAATTTCCAAACTATTCTCCTCTTGTTTTTATCTGAATAGGCAAAAGTACTGCAAATCTGTATGTCCATCAGAAGTTCTTAAAATGAATCAAATGGCATACCATTCGTTTTTTTACCGACATTAAATTATTCTACACTAAGTTTATCTAAGTTGCGACAATAGAGATGTGAACTTGATGTACAGGAGGAAGCACAATATTACCCTAGCCAACTTAACCAAGCATAAATCTACAAATCAAATGGTATATAGTTATATAAGACACCAAATTAAGTCCAAATCCAATGAAAAAGGTAAAAGTTCTTTTTTTCCTTTTATTATTGATATAAAATAAATATAATATTACTAAGTATTGTAAATATACAAAATCAATAGAGTGAATTCATTCTAGTCTTACATGAATGTCATCGACACTTGGGAGTTGTCACCCATTAATATTGTGTTAAACAGTCATGTTAGGCATGCTTTTTGACTTGACTTCTTAACACAATATTAATGGGTTGCTGGGATATTGGCGTTGTTGAGTATAGGAATTTCTTGTCTATATTGATAAACGATCAACGACCTATAAAGGACTCTAGTAATTCAATTTTCAATTTATGTTCAAGAAAAATGGATCTAACTTATTTCTTTGCTTTAGGTATTTGTAATTTAGCATCTCAAATATTGAAAATCAGTACTATCTAAATGGGATAGGGTTGGGATCTAGTAATTGGTACATGCCAAGACATGAAGATTAAGACAACTTCTTCACTATTATTAAGATTGAAAGAGTTAAGAGGACCATAGAAAGCAGGTGGGGACTAAGCTAGCTAAGTTCAAGCTAAATAGCGATTTTAAGCCAAAAACACAAGAAGGAACGGGATTATGTACTTTTCCAGTTGGGAAATTTGCATTGGGATAGCTAGGTTTATGGAAAATGAGTCGGCAGAGATGGGGTTTGATCTGTCAGAACAAAGACACATGTGAGTACATCACAGACACTGAGCCAGTCAATAATCTGGAGGAAGAGGCATAAGACATGCATTAACGGTACTACGAATTCACGGGCCTCTCGTCTGGTATCGATTTGTCTCCCCTTGCCCTAATGTATTATACCACACTGTATGGCCATACCCTTAAAGCATATATTATTAGTGCTGGCAGATGCAGCTGGTTGGCTTTATTGCTTTACTACTGGCCGTAGCTCACATGCTCTGATACTACACATTCTGTTTTATTCCTTATCGTTCTTTCCCTTTAATAGGGGTCACCGAATTCCCTTCACAAATTAATGTAACTAGCTACTCAATCTAAACATGTGGGATACCTGCATTTTAGAGTACATATGAGCTAAGTTGTAAACTCAAATATTTGAAATTTGAAACCTCAAATGCTAGAATGCTCAAATTTATCAATACGTGTTGGTTTGCATTTGATTGTAAGTATTAAAATATGGGTAATGCTAGGAAGACTAAATTTCTAAATTAAATTTTGTAAACTAAATGATGTGGTTGTTGACGATTGGATTATTACTTAAGTGTTATTAATGTATAGGCAATCACTAACATTAAAATCTTAAGCTATCATAAAATGGCAAACAATGTATATCAAAATTACTTATGCATCCTACAACGTTTTAAGTTTAGTGCAAATTAATATAGAATTAAGAAACAAAAATAATTAAACTTAGGATTACTTACAAAGAAAGCTCTGATATCAATGGCGGATCCAAGAAATAATATTAGGGGGGTCAATAACAATAGCGCGCGCAATGCTTAAATTTTTTTATACCAAAAATAGCATGCATATCGTCATTTCATCGAGTCTTGGTAGACCTAAAATCATTTGAAAATGCATACTACAGACATGTTAATGTATGCAAGGGGCAGCACCCAAGGTATTCATGGACATTCATCGGGTTTTGGTAGGCTTGAAGTCGGTTGGAAGGCAAGTATGAACTCAACTCTAATCTTCAAAAGGATAACACTCAAGGTATCCATAGACATTCACCGAAGTTCGAGGGGTCAGCTGACCCCCCTTGCCCCTTAATGGATCCGCCAGTATCATATCAATTACACAACCACTAGCCCCAAAATTCAATCTATCAGAAGAATAACAAAATATATAACAAGGTTACAAATTCAAATTAACGAATTAGTATAATATAGTAACGATATTGTATGTAACGAATCAATATCTAGAAAGATGTTAGCTAGTTGCAAACAGTGGACGGTTAGCTCATTCTTGCATGCTAGTAAATTCCAGCATGGGGTGTGATATCCACACATCCCTTTTTACTTCTCCCACACCTTTTTGATTTTCGGTCGTCGGATCGGATGGATTGAAGAAGATCAACGGATAGAAATTAACAAGGGATGTGTGGATAGCACACCCCTTCCAGCATATAGCTAGCCCTGTCCCTTGCCTGTACCGTGAAAAGACATGTCCATCGACTTCTCAATTATCTCTCTCATTATTCTTCATGTTGTAGAGGCATATATATGTCTACAACAACACATAAGCACAAAACAAAAAGGCAAAAACACAATTTGGATTTTAGCATGCAGTTGCATAAAAATATTACACCAAATCCACTCCCAATGTATGCGTTGCTATTGGCTGCTATCTGTATTTTGTTTCTTGTATGAGCTACCAGAGAGTCACAGAGCTAGTGTTACCCTGCTTTTTAGAAGACGGATCACCAAGAGGTCCTTATCTGTCTCCTTATTTTTGTTCTTCCCATTTCTCTTTGTCCATTTGTGTTTGACATATCTCTCTCAAGTTCTCACGCTGTACGGGGAAGGAGGCTCAATGCATGGCTTATCTGATCTCATGCATCTTTTCGATTTCTAGGCTTGCTTGTGAAACTTTTTTGCACTTTATCTCTTCGTCCATGGAATCCGCCACATATGGGCAAAAGCGCAATCCAATTTTTGAAAAGTAGCCAAGACTAGGTGGTTTATATGATACTAAGGTTTGTTTATCAATAATCATGTCACAAACATGATCTTATTTGGTGTTTATTTCTTAAAAAATAAGGATAATACTCATTATTTAATTGTATGGATGTGAATCAAATATTGATTGTCCCCGGAATAAAGATAGCTTATTAATTTGACGGGAGTTTGCATGTACTAGAGAATAATTTACCAGAACTCCTTTTTCATTGACTAAAATTCCACACACACGATTAAGGGTCGATTTTTTACTCCACCAACATGTGTATCTAATCATTCATACCATAGATTACCATGGCAACTACACAAAAAGAGTTCATCTATACTATATGACATGTTTTATTAATATGCTTATTATTAGCAATGTCTCATATAACTCTACATAAATCTCACTTTACCCCTTACACATTATTGTGCTTCACTGCACTATTATTTTGTTTCTCACTTATCCCATTTTGTCAAGGTTGAAGAAGCATTATTTTTGCTGACATAGCATGGTCTCTTGGTTGTTTCAACAGTGAACTTGTGATGCCCTAACTTCTCACTGGGTTCCAACCATCAAAACAGAAAAAGACGTTTTTCTGACTATCTTAAATTATTATGTTTGAAAATTTTGTGTTATATTGTTTATGTTCAATATTCTATCATGAAATGTGCGGCCAAATTGCAAATTTCTGTTACAAGATTGGACAAACATATTATAGTAAATAGCTCGAAACTGCTTAAGCTCTGTATCAAGCTTGAATTTTTTTTAAACTTGATTGAACTCGGCTGGTAGAAGAAGCAAACAAAACTTAGTTTGAGCTCATAATTAATTAAACAGAGCACACTTGAGGATATTGATATTCAGTTTGACTCAACGCATGCCCTAATGTGTTGCAATTGGGCTGAGCCTCAATTTAATTGATTTATTCATATTTGGTCTTTTGTGGAGATGTTAACTTGAGATTGGATACAATTCAACTTAATGTATCACAAGTCCTTTAGGACTCGTTTGGTGGGTTGAATGAGATTACACTGGCAATGACATGTAAGACATAAATTGTAACATATATATAAAGATAGGTTATATAGCTCACTCTATTGTGGATCTATAACTCATCATGTCTAATCACGTCATCTCACATTTTGACACAACAAACAAAGATTGGACTCAAATCTATTTTAATTGATCATAACATATCCCACCCAACCCATCAAACGGGCCTTAAAGTCCATGCCTCAAAATCATGGGCCTACATATATAAGGTCCATGCCTCGAGGGCCAACATATATAAAGTACGGAGGGAAGGTCCATATTTGAAATTGGATGTTTTTTAAATTAGAATTAGAATTAGAAATTTGATGAATATTTTAACCAATTTTATTTGAATCCATATAATTTCACTCTAAACGCAACTTAATCTTTAAATGAGAATTGTCTTTATTATCTTATTGTATAATTACCATCAAATGCACAATAAAATTAGTAAAAAAAACCAAAATTTATCAATAAATACACTCCCAATAATCAAATCCTAACCATCATGCAATCTTTCTCTAATGTTCTATTCGGTACATTAAGACACTCAACAAGTTCTATTTTATGGATTGATGTTGATTTTGATATTTTGGATCCTCCAACTAAGGTATGAATCGAGTTATGCAAATTTTTTTGTTTGTTTCTTTTTAGTTTCAGAGTTCGAGAGACAACCAAGTTGACCTGATCAATCTTCTCATTCCATAGCCTTGAATTTATTGCACCCTAACTTGATCATAAAATCATCAAAAAGTGGGCAATAAAGGTGTTATCAAACTTTTCCAACATGGTAATCGCCCACTCCTTTATGGAATTTAGCCTCCAAAGATCAAGTTTTTACAACATGGTAGGATGGTTTTATGCCATCCTCCTGCTAACCCTAAACGATAAATTAATTCTCACCCATCCTTATTAATTTCGATTTCAATTTCTATTAAATCATGAGAAATTGAAAGGAAAAATGA